CTAATTGTTGTGATAATAGTATTGATAATTATAATAGTAATAAAATTAATGATTATGATGATAACGAGTGTGTGTTTATATATATATATAATATATATATTATATTATATATATATATACATGATATAATTTTTAGGGTCCGTTCATATATTTCACGCTTTAGCGTGCCTTTCTACCAGTTAGCGTTCTTTGTCCGAAGCAGTACGAACACCTGCTGTAATGTGGGTTGAGGCCACGAGTCTTGATAATCGGTGTGACCAGTTTTGACCTAATCATCAGTATGTCTGGACATAGTAAACATTATTTATCTAGTAACTATTAAACAGCGAGTGGACAGTGCAGGAATGTGTATGCGTGCATGTCCAAGGATAAGGATAAGGATAAGTCCGATATGCGAAGCTTAGCCTCGCCCGGGCTATGAGGGGAGCCCGGCGTTTGCCGATTAATGTCGACTCGATCAACGTGTGTCAGCGAGTGCTGACGCGACAGATAGAAGTGCCAGCCACCGTGGTGCCCAGCCACAGCAGTAACCTCCGGGCGACAAATACAACTCCTCGCACCTCGGCTGGGCGCCATTGTACTAGCCTGGAGCTTCATGTTCAAGGTCTATGGAAGTACTTATAAAGACCTTGTGCACGTCCCTCCCAATCCCTTGCTCGTTGTTGTCGTGGGTAGACTTAGAAGACGGAGACTGAGGCCCAAGTAAGGGATCACCCCATACTTGCACCGAAGCCCATGCCTCAACTGAATTTGCATGTTTTTTTTTTTCTTTTTCCTTTTCCCCCTTTCCTTTCCCATCTCTTCATCCTTTTCTGCCCGCATCCGAAAGTGTGTAACAAAATGAAAGGCTGGCTTTGCAGCCGTCCTGAACGGCCTTCGTATTGCTATTCGCTCTTCACCTTTTTCACTATCATGCTAACCTACAGTGCTCTACAACCTTTGACATACATATTTTGCCCTAAGCGTTAGCTTATTTGTAACCTTTTACCACGCTGGTGTTGTATGGCCTTTCCTTGCCTGGGGTATTGCCCCAGGCTTCATCCGCTAGACCTATCCCTAAACTGTAAACCCGCCGCTAATGACCTGAGAAATTTGAAACGGCTGAAAATTTCCAACGTACGTGAGTGCGCGCGCGCGCACTTGTGTAGGAAGGTTATATGCGAAACAGACTAGTACATCAAAATGATGCTAGATCTAAGATATTGCTAGTATCGGTAAGGTACAGGTGAAACAAGCAATCTAGTGACGTTAACATGGGAGCTTTGCAATGGTTTTGTATATAACGACTGAATCATATTTGTTTATATACACTGTATGGTTATACACTCACACTGAGTGTGAGTGTATAATCATACTACTGTATATTAGAGAATACCAAAGAAAATATTCTAAAAAGCTCCATCAATTACCGCCAAATTGCCGTACGCCCGGCAAAGCATTCCCGGTAATTCATGATCAGTAATCCGCCGAGTGTGCTACACGCCATTTCCACCTGTTGGCGTCTCGAAATTGCAAAAAATGCTGATTTTAGACCTGCATCAATCATTACGCAATACAAGCATTTCATTGGTGCTTAACATACTAGGGAATATTAGTACCGCAGGGGATTGAAATAGGTATAAACGAAATTTAGGTAATTCCATATTTATGTTGAATATCTGGTGTTTGTCAGTTAATGTTTTAATCAGTCAACTATCAAAAGTTGCAATTACTTTGCTGTTTCTTCCTCATTTTCTGTCTTACCTTATCCTTACTCATGGAAAAATGATTGTGCGTCTTGAAAATTCGTGAGAACTTTCTGGAATCAGGATATATATTTTCAAATCCACTACAGATGCCAGCATATCTTTGTAAGTGTTATTCATCTTTTTTATTGAATTGAGATTTGCATATTTAATTCCCCAATAGCAATGTCCGTCCTGTAAACGAAATACAAAAATTCACTGTACTGGACAATGTATATATTTTTTGTTATTAGATTCCTACCAGAAGACAATTCTAATAGTTCATAAAGTCACTGGGTCACTGAGAATTATGTCCGAGTCATAGTAATTATTATTAGTATAATTATCATTTAGTGTGCACATCCTTTTGCTTAGCATATATAACATAAAAAAAAAACATATTTCATTAATTTTTAGAGAGAGTACGTAATTGGTATGAGATTCACTTTCCATATATACAACACAAAAAAGCAACTACAGGTATACAGAATTATGAAAACACCCTGCATAAGAAAGAAAAGAACACACGAATGAAGAAGAAAATGCGGAATGTTGGCGGTATCTGGCCAACCACCGTGCTTTCCTTGAACCCACATTGCTTTTCGTGTTTATACTTCTAACGCGGAGTCTGGTTAGGGCTGTAGGCTACGCAATTCATACTGACAGCCACGCTTTGGTGAGAGGCTTCCTTCCTACGATTATTTGCTGGACACGCGGTAAGGTTTCCCATGCGGCCAGTTCTTCATGAAGATTCACCAATTTGGCTAGTTTCATTATGCTTCCCATTTTTCGTATTAATAACGTTCTGTTGATCTCTTGGGTGAAAAAGTATATGCAGCTCTTCACCTATGTGACTCGTTTTCCAAGAAAACAATGAATTCACACTATAACATCTTTGTTAACGAGGTTCTGAATGCTGTCATCAACAACCAAATATTACTATACTGTAAGGAAATATTTGTGGGTAAGAGGACAAACAGTATCCGGGGATTAAGGCCTTTTCTACACCTGCCGCTGATCCAAGGCCACCTTTGGGTAAAGAAGAGTACAGTACCTATCCACCTCTGTGGGTCCGAAACCTCACTCTCCCTCGCTCAGCTGTCAAACACTGTTGGTTATCAGTCCTGGGGGCTTGTATCTTATCTATCATCCAGCCAATTTCATCTAATTCCAGGTGCGACGGGAGGTCAATGGCCAGATTCTCAAATGCGTTAAGGCACCGTATCTCCTTAAGGCGCCTGAACTTAAGGCCGAGCGACCTTATCCGGCCCATACACGAAGAAGGGGACCCGCCATACTGGTCCGAGTTCAGGCGCCTTATGGTGCTGTCACACTAGCAGTTTTTCCGTCAAATTTTTGACATTTTTATTTAACATAAATACAAACATTCTCGAATATAACTTGATTTTACTATGCTTAGCTGAAAAAGTTGACATAAGGGTTTTCAGACGGAAACGATAATTGTCGTCTCTCTGGAACAGACAATTCGCTCAAATATTGACAAATTTTCAGATAATTGTTAAAAATTGACGGAAAAAGTGCTAGTTTGACAGCGCCTTTAGGTTGAGGCAGCGGGAGAGCAGCCTTTAGCGCTCTCCAGCGATAATTTGAGAATCCGGCCCCTGGTGGCTAACCTTCTAACTTCCCAAGATGCTTTACTGATTCAATAAAATGTTTTCAGTTTTATTTCATGCAACAGGACTTCTGATGATTACTGTACAATATTATATATATATATATTATATATATATATATATATATATAATATATATATATATAATATTATATATATATATTTATATATTTATATATATATATTAGATATACATATATATATTATATATTATTATAATATATATATATATATATATATATTTATATATATATACATACATATATTATATATATATATATATATATATATATATATAATATATAATAATATATATATATATAAAACAAAGCAAGTCGTTTGCTTACATTCAAGAGATCCAAACATTTTTTTTATCATAACGCAAGTTTACCTTCGAGTTCTTAAAGTTGAAGTTAATAATGCTGTTTGGGGCCGTAAACATCACAAAAAATATCTCTACTTCTATCAGGGGCCTCCTTATCTACGTAAATCAGTACTGCCGCTGCTGCAATATCCCTAAGATTTGAATATGTGAAATCCGAACATATGATTTTAAGGTATTTGCTCATACATAGTATATCAGTGTATCTTTGTTAGTCATATATTTTAATAATGTTTGTTACCTTTTTGTACCATCGAGATTTTTGGAATTGATTTAAAGACTGTAAACGCGTAATAATCCATAAGCGGGGATATTATGCATGTAATTTATAAATTTCTTATCAGCACCAGTTTCAAGATTCTTAAACAAATAGAAGTGCAGCAAGTGTTTTTATATAACAAAAAAAAATATTAAGGCACTTACAGTAAATACAAATACGCAATTATCACCATAGGCATATTGATGTCTTTTGCTATTAGTTACCATCACTATACATCCAGTGTCACTATGTTGCTCATGGCAGGTATTAGTATAACCTTGCATATTTAATTTACGGACTCCATCTACCAGTAATATATATACAACTCCTGCAAGCCTCGATTCAAGGGTACATTTCATAGGAAACACTCTGAATACTAGTACTCGCTCTACCGCTGTGGTGTGCAACTGATTAAACAAAGAAACCATGTGATTAGCGTGCCAACTCATCACGGTCTAACTCACAATGCTGACAGCATCAACTGACAAACAGCGGAAGCATCAACCAAAGCGTGAGGTTCTTGGTAACGGTGAACTTTGATCTTTTATCCCGACTTAGTTATCTTAAACAGTTGTTGCATATGTAAATATGATAAAATGCCCTGAAGAACTATTTTTTCTCAGAATTTAGGATGAATGACGTTTAGGGAAGTAGGTCAAAGGTAATACTTCCAGAGGGGGTCTAATGCGTGGCCTGACCGAGGAGTCACGGACATACATTCCTTTTTGCCCAACGGTATTGTGTTCCTGCCTGCGTAGTTTTGTAACATGAAACATCTGTGATGATCGGTCGAGCACACATGCGATGGAAAGAGAGCAGAAGATACAAGCTGAAAAACGGGACGAGACAGACAACGAAGAGACAAAGAGAAAATTGCTGCTTTGATCGTAATATAAGATGACATACAACTGAAAGTAGACTTTAATTTTCATATTACAAATACGTAGAAAAGATCTGAAGTATATGGCACAGATAAACATTATAAGAATATAAAAAGAACCATTAATAATAAAATGTTTCTAATTTATTAGGAAACGGTACAAAAAGTCATCTGCCCTAGACGTCTGGTTTCCCAGAACGGTAGCCGCCACATAATATCATTTAAATTAAGACTAAAGCTTTATCACTTTTCACAGTTAAAAAAATTAGACTCTAGAACAAGTACAAAATAGATTAAAATGCCTCTGTATTATCATATAATAAGATCCTCAAAACATGAGTTTACAGTTCATCTTTTGGAGTTTCAGATTCCTTCTTATCGACCTTCTGCTTGCCTCCTGCACTTCTTGCCTGTTTTGCTTTGACCTTCTTGACAGCTGCCTGGATGTCATCGAAAATGTCTTCCACTAAGGTGCGTGTTCCCCAGGCTCCAATTACTTGGCCTGTTTCATCCACAAGGTATTTGTAGAAATTCCAATCGGGAACTACCGATGAAGTCTCTGTTGGGCGATTAAGGTTTTTGTTACAAAGATAATGGTACAAACAATCTACTGTGTGGACAAAATGACAGGAAATTACTATAAACAAAATTTATAATACTTTCGTGTTTAGGGGGCTATGCGTAAATTATATATATATATATTATATATATATATATATATATATATATATATATATATATATATATATATATATGTATATATATATATGTATATATATATATAATATATATATGTATATGTATATGTATATGTATATATGTATATGTATTGTATATATATGTATATATATGTATATGTATATATATATATATATATATATATATATATAATATATATTTATATATATTAATATATATATATATATATATATATATGTATATATTAAATATATATATTATATATATGTATATATATATATATATATATATATATATATATATATATATATATATATATATATATATATATATATATATATACATTTTTTTCCATTATAACGCACTCTTCCAAATCAAACCATTCATCGTACATGTTGTTTGAAACACTGAATACCAAACTTATTTACATGCAAAAGAACGAAAGATAACATACCAATCAAGAATTTGAAGGCAGGGTCTGCGTGCTCTCCAACAACACTGATCTTATTGAAAATAGGGAACTCCACTTTGTACTCTGTGGTGACAAACTCGATGATCTCCGGCATATCAAACGGTTCTTGATCACCAAATTGGTTGCATGGAAATGCTAGTACGGAGAAGAAATCACCATAACCTGTAAATAGTAGGGACACAAATTAACATAAAATAATTGTTTGGCAACAAATACATCTTGTGATTCTCTTAACCTTATTGTAATACTAGCTATTGCCAAAGACGTTGGTACTAATGTTCATGCATGGATGTGTATGTATGCGCAAGTATGTACTCCCAACCTATTTTTGTAAATAATAACCAGGTTTATCAAACTAAAAGGAATTAAAGTACAAGATTATATACAGTGTTGCCTAAAGTGTCGCCATGAGTGTACAGGAGATAGAGAGGTGACGGTTTTCTCGACCGCCAGCGAGAAAAAGAGATAAGAGAGTGAGAGAAAAGGGGAGGGAGGGAGTGAGTGAGGGAAGGATGGGGAGTGACAGAAGAAGAGAGAGAGAGAGAGAGAGAGAGAGGAGAGAGAGAGAGAGAGAGAGAGAAGAGAGAGAGAGATGAGAAGAGGAGGGAGAGAGAGAGAGAAGAGAGAGAGAGGAAAGAGAGATAAGGAATAGTAAAGAGAGTAGNCATCCTAAAATATAATGACATTTAAGATGAACTAAGACAATCCTCTGAGAATCTGTTCATAATTATTTAACTAAACATCAAACAAAAACAACAACAACTAAACAAAGAAACAAACAGACTAACTAACCAACGCTACTAAAACATAACCTCTTTGGCGGAGGGAATAATAATGGTAATAATAATGATAATTGCAGCAAACAGCACAGTAGGAATAACAACAATGTGATGATGATAAAAATATGATGATAATGGTAATGATAATGATAATGACGATGATGATAATGAAAGATAATGAGGATGATGATGACAAAAAAAACGACAAAAATATATAAATAACACCAAATCAATATCTACAACAACAACAGAAAAAAGAAAAAGAAGAAAAATAGAGAAGGAAACAGAACAAAGGAAAATGAAATGAAAGAAGGAGAGTATAATGATATTAATAATAATATGATAATAATAATAATAATAATAATAATTAATATGATAAACAATAAAAAAAAAAAATAATAATAATAATATCACGATAAAATGACGATAATAACAACAACCATAACAAAAACAACAACAAAATTAATACAACAACAACAATTCACACAACAACAAACCCCCTCCCCCTCCCCTCCCCTCAAAAAAAAAAGAAAAAAAATAGACAAAAAACCAAGAAAAACAAAAAAACATTCATTGCTCGACATTATTTATTTCCTCCAAATTTCACTATTCAAGAAAACATTAGCATATCGCGCCCATAAACCAAGACGGAAGGGCGAGTGTGGGTTATTTAAAGCGCGAATTTCGTACTTAGTGAAAGCATTAAGATGGAGGGATAAAAGAGTTTATGGTTTATATTTGTCTCCCTGTGTCGGTTTGGCTTGACATGAGGTGTTTAGGAGTCAATGGGGTTGTGTGGGTTGTGATGGGTTTGTGGGCTGTGGCGGGGTTGTGTTGGGGGTTTGTGGGGTTGTGGTGGGGTTGTGTGGGTGTTGTGTGGGTTGTGTGGTGGGTAGTCTGTGGTGGTTGGGTCTGTGGTGATGTGGGGTGTGGTGGGTTGTGGTGGGTTTGTGGGTTGTGGGTTGTGGGTCTGTGGTGGGTGTTGGTTGGGGTCTGTGGTGGGGTTGGGTTGGGTCTGTGTGGGGTTGTGTGGGGTTGTGGTCTGTGGTGGGTTTGTGGTGGGGTGTGGGTCTGTGGTGGGGTTTGTGGTCTGTGGTGTGGTGGGGTTGTGGGGGTGGGGGTTTGTGGGTATGGGTGGGTTTGTGTGGGGTGTGGGTCTGTGGTTGGGTCGTGTGGTGGGGTGTGGGTCTGTGTGGGTTGTGGTCTGTGGTGGGTGTGGTGGTGGGGTTTGTGGGTTGTGGGGTGTGGGTTGTGGTGGGTTTGGGGTTTTGTGGGTTGTGTTGGGGTTTGTGGTGTGGGTTTGTGGGTCTGTGGTGGGGTGGGGTCGTGTGGGGTTGTGGGGTTTGTGTGGGTTTGTGGTCCTGTGGTGTGGGTCTGTTTTGGTGGGTCGTGTGTGTGGTTTGTGGTCTGGTGGTTTGTGGGTCTGTGGTGGGGTTGGTTGGGGGGTTGTGGGGTTGTGGGTGGTGGGGTTGTGTGGGGTTTGTGTTGGGTGGGTGGGTTTGGTGGGGTGTGGTGGGTTGTGTTGGGGTTTGTGGTTGTGGTGGGGTTGTGGTCTGTGTGTGGTGGGGTTTGTGGTGTGTGTGGGTCGTGGTTGTTGGGTTTGTGGGTCTGTGGTGGGGTTGTGTGTGGGGTTTGTGGGTGTTGTGGTGGGTTCTGTTGTGGGTCTTGTGGGGTTGGGGTTTGTGGGTTTGTGGGTGGGGGTTGTTTGGGTTGTGGTTGTGGTGGTTGTGGGTTGTTGTGTGGTTTGTGGGGTTGTGGTGGGGTTGTGTTGGGGGTTTGTGGGTTGTGGTGGGGTGGGGTTGTGTGGTGGGTTGTGGTTTTTTGTTGTGGGGTTGTGGTGGGTTTCATTGGGTTGTGGGTGGGGTTTGTTGGTTTGGTTGTGTTGTGGTGTGTGGGGTTTGTGGTCTATGTGGGTTTGAGGGTCTGAGGTGGGTTTTTGGGGTTTGTGTGTGGTGGGTTGTTGTTTTGGGTTTGTGGGGTTGGGTTGTGCTGGGGTTGTGGGTTTGTGGTTGGTGGGAAGTGTTGTGGTTTGTGGTTGTGTGTGGGTTTGTGGGCTGTGGTGTGGTGTTGGGGTTGTGGGTCTGTGGTGGGGTTTGTGGGTCTGTTGGGGTTTCTGGGTTGGGTTGTGGTTGTGGTTTTTGGGTTGTGGTGGGGGTTCAATCTGTGGTGGAGGTTGTGGTTTTATCTCGGGTTGGGTGGGCGGGGTGTTTCTGCTGTGGTTTATGATAGTTGTGGTTTAGATTTTTGTTTCATTCGGGATTTGGTGCTTGTGGTTTATGGTTTTGTGTTTGGTTGTGGCTGTGTTGTGGTTTTATTTTGGGTCTGAATGTTGTGGTTGTATGAGTGGCTGTGGCTCTGCTGTGTTTATATTTGGTCGAGTGCTTGTGGTTTATGTTATTGTGTTGTGGTTGTAATGTTGTTTTTTGGGGTTTGAGTGCTTGTGGTTTATATTTTGGGGTCTGAGTGTTTGTGGTTTATGGTAATTGTGTAGTGGTTGTAGCTGTGTTGTGGTTTATATTTTGGAGCCTGAGTGCTTGCGGTTCTTTTGTGGTTCATCGTTGTGGTTGTGGTGTCGGGTTTTGTGCTTGCGGTTTCAATCTTTCTGTGCTTGTGGTTTAGTGGTTGCGTGTTTGTGGTTGTTTTTTTGTGGTTTAGTCCTTGTGGTAGAGGGTTGTGGTTGCTTAAATGGGGGTTGTTCCTTGTGGTTCACTTTTGTTAATGAGTTGTTACGGTTGGGTGATGTGGTTGTATGTTGTAGATTCGCTTTGTCGTTTTTAATGTCCATGGTTGCATATTGTGGTTGTATGTTGAATGTGTTGTTTTGTGGTTTAGTCTTCGGGTTTCAGTTTAATCATTGGTTAGGTTTTATATATGAGCTCAGTGGTTGACTACACTCCAAGTTAAGTTTGTGGTTGATTTTCACGAGTTTTATGAGTTAGTTCCTTGGTTTAGTGTGTTGGTTTAGTCCCCTGGTTTAAACTTCTAGGTTTGTCCTCCGTTTAAATCACGTTTATTGATTTTTTGGTTGGTTTTGTGTGATATCTTTTTATGGTTGTCTCAAATTTGAATCTCCGTGTTCAGTTTTATGGTTTTGTGTCATGGTTGACTCATGGTTCTCGTTTCAGTCATGGTTAAATAGGTTTAATTTCGGTTGAGTCTTGTAGTTGGGTTCTATCCTGAATTCCATGACATAGACTCATGGTTGAACCTACTTATATGTCAGGTTAACTTTATGGTTTATAAATTATATGTCAGGTTAACTTTACGGTTTATAAATTATGGTTAAACCTCTACTTATATAGCAGGTTAACTTTACGGTTTATAGATTATGGTTGAACCTTCTACTTTTATGTCATGTTAACTTTACGGTTTATAAATCATGGTTGAACCTACTACTTATATGTCAGATTAACTTTACGTTTTATAAGTTACATGTCATGTTAACTTTACGTTTGTAAATCATGGTCGAACCTTCTACTTATATGTCAGGTTAACTTTAGGGTTTATAAATCATGGTTAAATCTACTACTTATATGTCAGATTAACTTTACGTTTTATAAGTTACATGTCATGTTAACTTTACGGTTTATAAATTATGGTTAAACCCTCTACTTTTATGTCAGGTTAACTTTAGGGTTTATAAATTATGGTTGAACCTTCTACTTATATGTCAGGTTAACTTTAGGGTTTATATCATGGTTAAACCTTCTACTTTTATGTCAGGTTAACTTTACGTTTTATAAGTTACATGTCATGTTAACTTTACGGTTTATAAATTATGGTTAAACCTCTACTTATATGTCAGGTTAACTTTACGGTTTATAAATCATGGTTAAACCTACTACTTATATGTCAGGTTAACTTTATGGTTTATAAATTATATGTCATGTTAACTTTACGGTTTATAAATTATGGTTGAATCTCTACTTATATGTCAAGTTAACTTTACGGTTTATAAATCATGGTTGAATCTACTACTTGTATGGTTTATAAATTATAGGGTCAGGTTAACGACTTATATGTCAGGTTAACTTTACGGTCTATAAATCATGGTTGAGTTTGATTTGGTTTGATTGACATATAAAATTGACAACCTGTGAATAAACTGTCCCGTCCAGATGGATCTTTTCGCAATATTTAATTATTTAACTACGATGAGTCACGTGACACTTAGTTATATTTATAGATTCATGAGTCACACAGATGTAGAGAATCTCATCCTTCACTGTATTAAAAAAAAGTAATCTGTAATATATTTTTGCATCTTTTAAGTAAATGAATTCGGGGTTTTCGTTTTATTTTATTTATTCATTGTTATTTTTTTTTTCATATGACAAAATGGCGACCTCTGTTATTGACTTGTTACTGTGAAAAGGATTTTAG